ACACACACATACATACACAGAGAGAGAGAGAGAGACAGAGACAGAGACAGAGACAGAGACAGAGACAGAGAGACAGAGAGAGAAAGAGACAGAGAGAGAGTTTTCACATTTCACCTGATATTCACTGACTGTCAGTGACTTATTTTACGGTTGAGACATTGCTACTCAATCCACCTGAAACGCACACCCTCCCTCCATGCTCCACATCAAGAGGCCTAACCTTCCTTGAAGCTCTGGCCTTGATGGTAAAGACTTCATTGTTATTTAAACGAACCCTACTTAGAAACTCGGAACCAGACTGTGAAACCACAGCCCCAGGTCCCCTTGCAGCTCAGAGGCTGGTGGCTCTATAATGCTGTCACAGAATGGTTGTGAGCACTGGGACTTGGAGCTAGCCAGGGCTGAGCCCAGACTCCCATTCTTCTACTTACTAATTGTAGGACTGTAAGTGATTTCCACTGTGTCACTCCTAAGGTCTTCGAAAATCCAGCCACATTTCAAATAGTCACTTTGTGACTCTCCTTCCACTGTCCTAATTTGAAAGTCTTCTCTGGTCCCCAGTAAAATGCCTTGCCCATCCTTTTAAACCCCCCCCCCCAACATAGAACCATAGTTGTTGTCTTAGTTACTATTCTATTGCTGTAAAGGAACACCTTGACCTTGGGAACTCTTACAAAAAAGAATGCATTTGCATGGGGGCTTGATTCCCGTTTCAGAGGTTTTGTCCATTATCATCATGGCAGGGAGCATGGTGGCTTGCAGGTCACTGGAACAGCAGCTGATCTGCAGGCAGCAGACACAGAAAGGGACTGCGTCTGGCATGGGCTTTTGAGGCGTCAAAGCCCACCCCCAGTGACACATTTCCTCCACATATCCACTAAGGCCACACCTCCTAATACTTATAATCCTTTCAAAGAGTTTCCCTTCCGAGTGACTACCCATTCAAGTATATGGGTCTCTGTGGGGGCCATTCTAAATCACCACAGTAGGTGAATATGCTTCGTCAAATAAGTTATCTCTACATTGCTGCTAATAATATCTGCATAATTCCATTGCTCTATAAGCCCAAACTACATTATTTCTTGGGGAGAAGCTTTTCTAAAATGCTTTAAAATTTTTTTTTTTTACTTATTTTCGTTACATCCTGCTCACTGCCCCTCTTCCCAACCACCCCCTCCCATAATCCTTTCCGCCTCCCCCCTTCTCTGAGCAGTTGGGCTCCCCCCACCCCCCGGGTATACCTCCCTTGTTCTTCAAGTCTCTGCAAGGCTAAGTACATCCTTTCCCACTGAGGCCAGGCAAGACAGCCCAGCTAGAACATATCCCATAGACAGGCAACAAACAGCTTTTGGGACAGCTCCATTCCAGTTGTTTAGGACTCACATGAAGACCAAGCTGCATATCTGCTACATATGTGTCGGGAGGCCTAGGTCCAGCCCGTGTATGTTCTTTGGTTGGTGGTTCAGACTCTGAGAGCATCAAGGGTTAGTTGACTCTGTTGGTCTTCCTGCAGACTTCCTATCTCCTTTGGGGCTGCAATTCTTCCTCCTATTCTTCCATAAGAGTCCCCAAGCTCTATCCACTGTTTGGGTGTGGGTGTCTACATCTGTCTGAGTCAGCTGCTGGGTGGAGCCTCTCAGAGAATAACATGCTCCTCCTGTCTGCACGCATAACAGAGTATCATTAATAGTGTTAGCCACTAGTGCTTGTAATCGCTACATGCCATGCAATGGGTCTCAAGTTAGGCTGATTGTTGGTTGGCTATTCCCTCAGTCTCTGCTCCATCCTCATGCCTGCATTTTTTGTAGACAGGATAAATTGTGGATTGAAAGTTTTTTTTGGGTAGGTTGGTGTTTCTATCACTCCACTGGGGTTCCTGACTGGCTACAGGAGGTGGCTTCTTCAGGTTCCATATCCCAATGTGGTGAGTTACAGCTAAGGTCACCCCCATAATAATAATGTTTTTATTTAATTTTTGGGACAACTTCATACATATCTATGGTGTGTTCTAATTACTGTCTTTTATCTCCTTCCTGTCCATCACCCCTTCCCTTCCTTCCAAGTCTCTTTCCCACAGTCATGTCTTTTTGCTTTGTTTTGTGACCCACTGAGTTTAACCAGGGTCATCTGGGTGACCACAGGTTTGGAACTGTCCATTTGAGACCTCATGCATTTCCTAACGGGTATATAATTAAAGACAACATCTATCAGTAGCCCAGAGTTCAGCAAGGAGTTCCAAGCAGGCCCCTCTCTTAGGAAGAGTCTTATTTCTTCCATCAGTTCTTTGAGAATCTCATGCAACGTGTTTTAATCACATCCACCCCTCCCCCACTCCTCCCAGATCCATCCCTTTCCCTCCCGCCCTTTTTGGTTTTCATCAATCAAGACCAATTTGTGCTACCTATGAAATCTTGGATGTATGTGACCTTCCCCTGGAGCGTGGGACAACACTTTCAAAGTTTTTAAAACGTGCCTGGCAGCTATTAATTGCCAATAACTCCTTTGCTTGAGGTGAGACTTTACATCTGCTTCCCTGCTCTATGCCAGGCTTTGGTCTAGATTGGGCTTGCATGGGGCTTGCTCATGCTGTCATAAGTGCTGTGAGTTCATATGTGTAGCTGCTGTTATGTCCAGAGGGCACTGTTGTGTTTTAGTCACCTGCCGCCCCTGGCTTTTTAAGTCCCCCATCGCCTCTTTCACAATGATCCCTGTGAGAAGAGGTAACGTGATATAGACATCCCATTTGGGGCTGAGCATCTGCAGTCTCTTACTCTTCGTCCCTAGGCCAGTTGAGAGTCTCTGTGTTAATCATCATCAACTGCAAACAGCAACCTTTTGGAAGGGAGTTGAGAGATGCGTCAATATGTTTCTGCACCAGGTGGGTAGGGTAAAGAGTTCCTGGTGGCAACCAGTTTGGGATCTAGCAAGTTCAAATGGCTCTAGGGCCGTGTCAGGTTGCTGCGGGGAGAGTTGGATGGGGGGGGCTGGAGTTGGACCTTGATGTCATCGTTTAAAAACTCAAGACACCTACCCACATTCATACAGTGCCTACATCACTCTAGGTTCTAGGGAGTAGGCTTTGGTGCACTAAACTTCCAGTACCTCCCTTAAGGCCGTTACAAATTAATATGAATTCTAACCTCAAAATACATGCTTACCATGCAGATATGGCTTCATCCTCTAAACTCACTCCCCATCTTAGTTCTTCTGTCTCTTCCTTAGAACGGTGAGATTATGTGCTGGGAGACTCAGGGAGAAGGGAGCTTGCAGGAAGAATTCTGAGGAACAAAACTGTTCAGCCTCCATTAGAACTTTCCCGTGTGATTAGATCTTACTCAGAGACCAAGCCCAGAACTGAGTTCTCCTCACAGCTCAGTGGAAGACCGATGCTTTCCTCCCCATGCGTAATGACCCATAGAGAAGGAACTGATGCTGTAGTGGACTTGGGCATCTGTGAGCTGAGACACACCCAAAGCATGATAACCAAGCTTGTAATCCATGGGAATTTGAAGAGTAACTACTTATTACTGTCAGCAATGACCGAGGACCTCTGAATCACCATCACCCACACAGCAGACAGTGTGTAAGTATGGTCAGTGGCCCGGCACTGTGAGCAAATACCAGAAACAAATTTGAAGACTTTGCTTCTCTTCCATCATCACCTTTCTCAATTCAAAGCTATCAGAGAGTATTTTAAATGCAAATTTGATTCTCTTTTCCTGATCAATGAGATTTTTACTTAGAGGGTAGAATTTCGATCAATGTCATTTTAACCTAGACAGTAAGAGTTCACCTTCCTTGATTTTTAAAATACACCTAGATTTATAGTTTGTTTCAATTTAGCCACTGCTGGTCATTCTTGCCACCCAACAGCAACTGTGTGTGTGTGTGTACACACACACACACACACACACACAGAGAGAGAGAGAGAAAGAGAGAGAGAGAGAGAGAGAGAGAGAGAGAGAGAGAAAGATATGCCCCCGAAACAACTAATAACTTCCCCAAATAGTCTATTCCTTCAACTTGCAAAATACTTCTATTATTTCTACCCACTTGCTTTCCTAAAAATATCCATAATGTATTCCCAAAACTGAATTAGATGTTATATTCTCCATGGGAGTGCCTCTCAAATTTAGTGTGGTTCCTCCCTGGTTCTTGTTAAAATGAAGACTTCTCAAGAGGTGAAGATGAAACCTTAGACTTAGATTATTTGCTCATAACCTGGCTGCTGGTCCTCAGATGACAGTTTGAGGAATGAGTTGTCAGGAAATTTCCCCTATGTCAGCCTTGCCCAGACCAATTTTATCACTTTTTTTCCTAGAGTCTTCTTCACAGACAACACTTCCATTGTTATTTCAATTGCTATGTTCTAATCTTACAAGATGCTGTGCCTGACTTCTCGGCTAGGAACTTCTCGTCTTCTGTCTCAGTTTCTGTGAGCATCTGTACCCTGTGGAGTACATGACATTCAGAAAACACCTGATAATATATTGAGTACATGTGACATGTCACTGAGGGATAGGTAGTTTTGACTTGGAAAATATAAAACCTATTAGGTCTCAAACTCAGGACCTATTTAACATATCAAAGCGGACCTGGCCTCCAGGTTCTCCCAGCATCCCTCAGTCACTACGAGTTACAGCCTATGTCTGGCATACCCTGTCCCCACCCTAAACTTCTCCAGCCTACATGTTGGGCAATCCAACCATTTTGGTCACCCAGCTATTTTCTTCTACCCTTCCCTCCCCTGGCTCTTCCCTCTCTCCTCCCACCTCTCCTCACAGGGCCCAGCTCAGGGTCACGTTTACTCTGGACTCTTCCAGATGTCTCTGCCTCCTGCTGTCCCTCATATCTACAATAAACATTCTCCTCCATACCTAGGAGCAGCCATGTCTTTCCTTTTATTTCGTTTCTTCTTTTTTTCATTCAGAAACCATGTGACCATTTTTATTTAAGCAAATTGAGGTGTCAGCAACTTGGAATTTTAGTCACAGAGCCTATATTTGTAAAACATGTAGCTTTATTTTATTTTATCTTTTTGCCATAAGCAGCTATTGACTTGTGACCCCTACAGAGGGTAAGACATATCTGCAGTATTCTTATCTTGAACACAAGCAATAAATACTCTCCTGATTCAGGCATAAATACATAGTCCCAAACATTACGAATTGCAAGACCTACAAAATACATTTCAAACCAAAACCTTTCTGTGAACACAGGGCACCATTTACAAAAATGTAAGACAGAAACCAGCAAAAGAGAATCCCATCTTCCCAAGCAGGACACTGGAGTAATCGGTGCACACATGTCCATCAAAGCCTCCACGCAAATGAGGTTAAGAAAGCCAATATCACTGTAAGGGGCCAGGGGGCAGTCTCCTAAACCACACCACAGACATCTCTTAGTTCCAGTGTTTATCTTCTAGATTGGATGTCCCAGAAATCATTTCTTAATTAAGGGTTTCCAAAAGAGAATGTACAGTAGGCTGAGAAATCAACAGAGATGATTGTGGGCCAGTTGAGAAAGATCATTTTCTGAATGGCAGAGTTTTATCTGGACATGATTACAGTCGAAAGTGATGCATTTGAGTCTCAAGCCAGCCAAGATGCCATGTGACTTAGGAAGAGGGATCGCTGACTCTGATCATTTGTCTAGGAGCTTTGTCTGAACACCGCAGAAAAATCAAGTGTGCCTGGCACCAGGGAATTCTCCTTCTCACAAGAGAGCCAGCTCTAGGTTGAAGGGATAATTACAGGAAACAGCCTGCCGGAGACTAGTTGAAAGCACCTTTGAAGCTCTTGGACAAACAGCCTCAGGCGATGTGACGCTGCTAGGTTGGGAGAATGAAAGGGTTAATTTTTGAGTGGCTGGGGTTGTGAACTCAGATCCAGGTGAGGATGAAGATGGAGAGAGAGAACAGCATATTTCAATTTGGAGGGTCCCACTGCGCCCCCCAGTGTTCTGTGTAGGAGCAGCATGGCTGGGTGGTGGTACACTGCTTAAGGACTGACTTTCCTGTACTAACTTGCTGCGCAGTCCTGTCTCAGTAGGAGGCAGTGTTGAGAAGAGCTAAGAGGCTGCACTGGCATTATATTCGGGGAGCATCTCAACCTCTGTCCTTCCCAGCTCTGTCACTGGGGCCCAGCTGTCTGGCTTTTAAAAGACCAAGTTCGCTTTCTGTAAAACAGGAATAATACTGAATGGTTGGGTTGGTATGAACTGTGACTCGCCAGGAATAATCGGCCCACAGGATAAACCTATGTTACCTGTCCCAGTGCCAATCAACAGGGGACGTCTTGCACACTTTGGAAGCACCTCCCAGTGCTTGACTCTCTTTCCTTCCAGATAGTTTGTGCAAGAGCAAACTCCTCCTTCTTTTGCTAGGATCTTGAGAGCCTTGATGTGGATCAACCCCTAAGATGGATGAACCTCTAAGACCTGAGAGAACCCAAAGTCTCAAAGTCACACGGATCATCAGAGTGCTGCCCTATCTTGGTTCATGTGAGAAGTGCCGAGTGGATGCTGCTCCTGAGAGGTTGGAACAATGAACATTCTGTAGTCAGTGCCTCAGCATCCTGCACAGAACGGGAGATCCAGTCTTGTATGTGGCTCACCATGAAGCAGGGCACTGGACCAGTAATAATCTAAAGACTTCTTTTGTACCCGTTTCTTCCCTCCATCAGAGGCCCTCTCATTTCTGATCAACCTCACACACCCCATGATCCAGCCATGGGGCTTGGGGTCTGAATGTGTTGCCCACTCTGTCTACCCAATGGAGCTCACTGTGCCCCATCAAAGGGAGGTGGCAGTGTGCTCTGAAACCTTGTGACATCCGGCCTCTGGCACAAGCAGCCACTCCACCTCATGTGTGGCAGGAAACTGTGGCTGACAGCCTCGAAGTAGAACATCCTGGTTTAATCACCTCTTGCATTTCTTAGAAAAAGAATGATGCTTTCTTACTCTTCCATCCATAAAATGGGCATATTGTCTCATTTGGCCAAATTAAAGGTTACTTGAACTATTCTTAAAATAATTATAAAAGGAAGAGTGTGGCCTACGTCTGCCTCTCCTGATTGCTAAGAAGGGGAAGGGATGCTCCCGAGAGCAGACGATGGAGCTTTGAGTACGGCATGTGACAAGAGGCTGGGATGGGGTGGACACAGAGACACTGCTCCAGTTGTGGCCCAGCTGTTGGCTCAGCAGCTGGTCTCTGGCCTCTTCTAGGATGCTGCAGTTGTGGCTGCACAGGCGCTGGCACCATGGTCCAGGCATCTGTGTGTGGGGGTCCTGGGCTGGTGGCAGCTTTTAATGCTCTGGAAAAAGGACATTGTTCCTTCACTCAGGATTCATGGCTGCGGCTGGTCAATGAGTCCCTGCTAAGGTCCAGATTCTGCGATTTCTGCCAGCTGACTTAACAGCTGAGAGAAGGGTGGCCGGTCTTCTGGTTTCTGGAGAGTAACAAAGAGATCTCTGTCAGTTCCTCATACCTGTGCATCTAAGCTAAGTTTAAAGCAGATCTGGATTTAATAGCAGCATCCCCTCGAGTTCAAAATGCGATTCCACGCAGGCTGTACTGGAGGCAAGATGCCCCTCCTCTCTACGACATAGAGTCTGAGACCAGATGGCCTAGTTTTAAATTTGCAACCTGCTTCTTTTTAAAAAGGGGGGTCAAACCCAGAACCTTACACATGTGACACTGAGCTTAAATCTCAGTTCCACCACTCGTCCATTGTGTGAAACTGGACAGATGGCCAAAACCTCTTGGAATGTCAGTTTTCTCATCAGGAAAAAGGAGATGAAATCTAGCTCACAAGTTGGTTTTGAAGTAAACCATGCATAAAATGTATCCCGACAGCACTAAATAACAAAAAGGAAACATTTATGTTTAAAGCTCACACAGTATGTATAGGATGCATATAAGAAAAAATATAAAATTATGTTAAATCAGAGATGCTTGAAGTCAACACTAGTGCTAAGTTGTCACTTCTTCACAATGTGATCTACAGATTCAACACAACGTCAACCAAACCTCCCAGCACATGACTGCATGGTATAGACTAGCTGAGTCTGAAATGTATATGAAGAGACAAAAGTCTCAGAGAAAAAATACAACAAAGACAAAGGAAAGCAGAGTTGGGGGACTGATACTGCCCAACCTTGGGGTTTACTCTAAAGTTCATCACCAGTGTTGATGACACTGGTGAAAGGATAAACAATGGATCAGAGAGACAGAACAGGGGCCCAGAGAGACCCTGATGAGCATGGCAAGCAGACAATGGGACGAGTGACAGACAACAAGCAGTGCTGTAACTGCCCACCCACACAGGAACCAGCAATTCAAGTAACAAACCTAAGCTGCTCACAAAAAGTAGACCCTAGTCTATCACGACCCCAAAGGTGAAACAATAGGACAAGTTGTTTCAAGGGTAAAATGGGGGAGGCAGCCTTGATTAGGGGTGGGAAGTAAGTAATAGGGAGAGAGACAGTAAACAACACTAAGGATGTCTGGAAAAAGCCACCAAGAATCATATTATTTATTTACCTAAAGTTATATGCAATACATATAAGTCTGAGTATACATATATAGTTTAAATAAAGTTATACCACTTGGGCTGACAATTCCCCCCAGCAAGAACCACAGACTAACAAAAATCTAAATATTAGGCATGAGAAACTCCATTTAGAGTTGCTAGTCATGGGAGTCCAAAAGACTCCCCAAACAATATAGACTTGCTGTCGCCCTCAGTTGCCTCCCAGAAGTCAAAGGCAACTGCCTATTGCTGAAGACACTATGCACTTTGAACATAAGGAGCCAAGCTCTAACTTGAAAGCCTCCTCCCTTAGGTCTATCTTTCATTGCAGTGAAAGGTATTTTGGAATCTTCCAAGAGAGGGAAGCAATGGGCAATCCTGCCTAGCTATGACGCCTACAGGCCACATGACTTTGAGCATGGCACAATAACCCGAAGGATGCAGGAGAGGTACTCACATCCTGGCAGTAGCCAACAGCTCTCTTAATAGATTTAAAGATGACTCAAAAGGAGGGAAATCATGCCCGGTACTGGAAACTTACCCAACTACCTTGGGCTGGTGATGATCTTAGAGAATATCTATGACACTTTATAAACCAGCTTAATTCCTAACCGTACTCTAGATATCTATCTTAAATAGATAAGTTTAGCTTTTACTCCTCATTAAAGAAAAGAAAGAAAAATCCATTTGCAACAGATGGAGACTGTTATAGAAATCCACAAGTGGTATATTGTCCCAACTAACACATCTATAACATGACCTCTGTCCCTACAAGTCAGGAACATTGTGGAAGGGGATCAGTATGATGGCAAGCGCCAGAGGACCAGGAAATCTGTTGTGAGACTGTGTCTCCTGAAGTGATAGGGAAGTTTCACTCATGGTACCTCAACAATATGGCTGCCTAAACAAGATCTGAAGAAGTAGGACACCAATAGACACGCAAGCATGGAATGGGAGATTCCTACTGGGCCTCACCCCGGAACTGGGAGCTACAGGCACATGAGGAATGCTGGGAGTGGGAGTAGTCTTCCCCAGGGATGCGCCCCCTAAGTAGTTATCCAAGACCAAGTAGTCATCCCCCAAATATTTAAGCTTGTGTGTGTGTGTGTAGCTATCACAATTAAAAAGTGGCCATAATTTTGAGAAGGAGCAAAGATTTAAAAAAAAATAACAATAAAATTAAATTTCCATGAGATCATGTTGGAAGCGGTTTGGGTGACTTTGGTTTGTGATGAGTTGTTAACTACAACTTCAAAAGTGCAATTCATGGGGGAGGTGAATGATTCTGAGCTTGTAAAACTGTTCAACTGCTGTTCAGTAAGAGACCCTGTCCAGAGGGACAGTGAGATGGCTCAGAAGGCAAAAGCACTTGCTGCCAAGCCTGACAACTTGAGCCCCATCCCTGGGAACCACAGGCGGAAGGTGAGAACTGGCTCTTGCAAGTTGTCCTCTGACCTCCGAAGGCACATACTAACAATGTATGCCGCCCTCATGGCTGTACACACATGCACACAAAAAAACATAAATAATGAAATGTAAGTGGTACCAATAATGGTTTGCTGGTATCAGAGTTTGATTCCCAGCGCTCATGGGGCTGCTCACAACCATCTGAGACTACAGTCCCAGGGATTCTGAAGCCCTCTTCTCTCCTCTGTGGACCTGCATGCACGTGGTGTGCAGACACATCTACAGTCAAAACACCCATATACATAACTTTTTAAGTAAAACTTGACGATATTACTAAGAGAATGAAAAGATAAACTGTAGGCTTGGAGAATACATTTGCAAAACATATAATAATAGGATACGCTTTTAAAAGAAGTCAACTATAGGAAATAAACAACCCAGCTGAAAGGTGGGCAAAGATCTGAGCAGGCATTTAACTAAGATTACAGAAGGCAAACAAACATAAAAAGGTGTGCAACATGGCGAGCCACTAAAGGAATGGCAATTGAGACAACAGAAAATATAATTCTCCCCGTCCTCTGTAAGAATGGTGATGTCCAACACAACCAGTACTGCTATGTATGAGAAGCATCAGGACCAGGCATGGTGGCACACACCTTTAATATCTGCACTCAGGAGGCAGAAGCAGAGACTGGTGTATCTCTGTGGGTTCAAGACCTGGTCCATGTAGTGAGTTCCAGGAAAGCTAGGGCTACATAGTATCAAACAAACAAACAAACAAACAAAAAAACCCAAATAAAACAAAAGCACTAGAAGCCACTATTACTGCTAAGAATGTAAAACAGACTTAGGAAGACAACATGACAGTGTTTAGTTTTTTAAATAAACTAAACATAGTGTTAACATATGATCCAGCAACCACTCCTAGGCATTTACCCAGCTGAGTTGAAAATTTATGGCCATACATAGATTCACCTTAATAGATTCATTTGCAGTAGACGCTTATAGCAAGTTTACTCATAATTGCTGGAAACTGAAAGCTATCGAGAAAGTTCCTTTAGTAAGCACATGAATAAGCAGACTATGGTATGTCCATACAACAGAGTACTACTCAACAATAAAAAGGAAATAAACAATAAAAACCAAGAAACCACATATGCAGTACACACTGGTCACCACATACTGAAATATCATACTGTCCTCCATATGTATGTATAATGAAAACCTAATCATACATGTAAACACGTACAAAATCCTGCCTGTTTATTACGATCATTCTTGATTCCTATCCTTATAGGCCATGCCCTTTCTCTCGTGATCGAGGCCCTGAAACTGTGGTATGTATTATCCGGGGGGAACCTCCTTGCATACTGACCTCTTTCCAGCAATGATTCATGATCTGGTAGACATGAGAGGAGGCTAGGCGGGGCTTGTATAACCGAAAGCCAGTGCTGATGTCTTCCACCACCTCTGAATTGCTTCGGTTTTCATATGGGATTTTGCCTTCACTGAAGACTTCCCACATCAGTACACCTAGAAGCAACAGTGAGCAGAGCAACAGCTAAAGGGAAAGTGTATGAGTACCAAAGAGACTCATGCCCACAAACAAACAGGGCCCTTGGAGTGAGTATTCACCCACCGCTCTAGACCTCAGAAGTGCAGTATCAGGTCCACTCAAGCCTTACCAGGCTTTCCCTTAATTTTTTTTCATTGATTGATTGACTGCTCTATTTTAAAATATTTATTTAGTGTGTGTGTGTGTGTGTATGTGTGTGTGTGTGTGTGTGTGTGTGTGTGTGTATGCCATGTGTGTGCATGTGCTTGAGGAGTCTAGAGAAGGCCACCAGATCTGGAGAGGTGCTGAGGTGTATATGAAGCAAATGTATTTATGTCTAGACTTGGGTTTCATTTCCAAGCATTCTTGCTCTCTCCTACCCTCTCCATAGCTATAAATATGTATACATACACATATAATATACAAATATCCCAAATCTAAAGTCTAAACCATTTTTGGTGTCAGTCATTTCATATACAGAATCTTAACTTGTTTGTAAACAGTGAGGAGGAAGCATCTTCTCATGATACGTTTCCCACTTCTGCCATTCATAGAGAGGCTGCCCCAGCTTTGTCTTTATCATGTACTGACAGATCACAGGCTCTCAGAAAGGAGGGGAGGTTGCTGGTGTCCTAACCAGAGCTTTACAAGGGGTAAAATGAGAGGACTGGAGGATGGAGCTCCCCAAGTCTGATCCTCAAATACTCAATAAGAGTGAGTTCCTACACTTGTTCAAATGGGAGACTTCCTACTACCCTCCTCCTAGGGTCAGTAACCTGCAGGCTTCTCTGAGGTGCCCGAGGACCTGGAAATTCAGAATCTGACTAGGAGGAAGACTGTTCAGTATCCCAAGGTGCCAGGATTTCGAGTGAGGCGTCTTTTGAAAGTGAGTCGTTGCTGCTGTTGGTTAGTGACTGCTTTAGTGTGAACCTTCTGAGGCCTGGCCAAGGCAGAGTTCATAGAGGCTGACTTGTTCAGGAAAGCAATGGGAAAGCACAGACTGCATTTATGACAAAACCCACAGGGCTGAGGCAGGCAAGAGCCTCTTAGCTTGCAGGTTGCTGAGGTTTGCTCATGCTACTGTCTGCCTTTCTTTTTCCTTTCTCTTACTTTCTGTCTGTCCATCTGTCTGTCTGATTGTCTGTCTGATTGTCTGTCTGTCTGTCTGTCTGTCTGTCTGTCTGTCTGTCTTTTTCCCCTGAGACAGGATTTCTCTTTATATAAAAACCCTGGCTATCCTAGAATTCTCTCTGTAGACCAGGCTGGCCTGGAACTTAGAGATCTGCCTCTGCCTCCCCCGTGTTGTGGTTAAAGGTGTGCACCAGTGTGCCCAGCTGCTTCTACCTGTTTCTTCTGTTCTTCACCTGTCTATCAACCTCATTCTTGGACTCTCTTCAAATCACACATCTCAGGAAGGGATGCATTCTAGACTAACCTCCTGGAAAACACAGTAGACTATGCTAGGACTTCCCAAACTCTGTTCTGCATCTGCATTGGGTATGGCTTGCACTCTAAGCATTTTTGTGGGGCCCTGCCTTGGCAGTGTCAGTGGTTCTATCATCCACAGAGAGATGACCACACTTTGTGCCTAGCCTTCTTCTTCTATACTTGTGGACAGTTGTGCAAGGATGACACCAGAACAATTTCCTTCAATTCATTCTGTAACTTCTACCTGTTAACAGAGTAACAGCCAAGCCTGAAGGGGTGCATGTGTGTGTGTGTGTATGTGCGCGCGTGTTGAACTAAGGAACAGCATAGAAAGATTCATAATTAACAAGCTCTGGGCGTGTGGGAGTGGGTGCTCTAAAGTGAAGATTGCATCACTGGTTCTTACCCTGGGAGATTTGATTCACCCCATCTCCCTTGCTTGTGCCACTGACATTTGTGCCCTAGCAAACCTTTCATATGGAATAGCAAGGTTAACCAGAAGTAGTTTCTCTCCAAAGTGCCATCTTTACAGCTATCATATCGAAGAGGCTACTTGGTACACTTTCATGCCCACTGGTAGCGTGCAGAAATTATGAGTTAGGCTGACACCAAACCCAGCAAGTTATTTAGCCTTTCCCACATGTTAGCATCATTCATTCATTCATTCATTAATTCATTTATTCCCACCAACTGTAACTGTCTTTGTTCTCCCTCTAACTCAGTAACTCTTGTTCTCTGGACATAGTTGAGTTTTCGAACTTTTGCTCCTACCAGGGACACGGCTTCATGAATATTTGAGTGGAGACATTTGTTGAAGAGTTACTTCTAGAAAAGCCTCTCCAGAGCATACAAGGTGAAACAGACCCTTTCCCCCAGCCCTAGATGCTCTCTGTACCAAAGCAGCTTTGAGTCACACGACTTAGTGACCCAAACTCCACTGCAGCTTTCATCTGCTATCTTGTGTGACAGTCATCTGACTCCTCTCCCCAAAGATTTAGCTTCAAGAGGACAGAAGTCTCTTCTGCCCTGTGCCCTCCTGCTCCTCAGCACAGCGCTGGAGTGTAACGGACACTGGAGTGTAACGGCAAACCACTGTGGAGTCACAAAAGCTTACAGAGGATTAAGTATGGGAGTGCTGGACTCAGCACCATCCTGCTTTCAAAGGCTTCCTCTTCCTATCTCCGGACTCCTCCAGCTTTCCAGCTCACAGTAGCTACCACAAGACTCCCTTTCCACTATTATTTTTAATTTCCTAGCTGTTCTAAAGAGATCTAGAAATAAACGCAACAAAAAGAGCCCGTTTGAACATTTCAGGCTGTTCTCATGCAGGCCCTCAGTGGGTTCTTTCTCCACACAGGGGTCAGAACAAAGTAGACTTGTTTGCATTTGAGAAAGTTCCAGATCACACAGGGGTGGGCTCAGTGTGACCACGTACCAAACGACCACACATCTGACTTGCTGCTGTAGCGACTGAAGGAGAACACTTCTGGGGATGCCCACTTCACTGGGAATTTGGTGCCCGTGGAGCTGGTGTATTGATCATCAAGGACAAACCTGGAGAGAGGCGAGAAAGAGATCAGAACGGTGCAGGGCTTAGTCTTTTTCCTGACAGTGGCTGTCACCACACCCCTGCATTACCTTGTCATCCCGAAGTCGGACACCTTGATGACCTGGTTTTCTCCCACCAAACAGTTTCTGGCAGCCTAGAGTAGAGACAGGTAGGCAAAAGAGAAATAAAGCCATGGGTGGAGGGCCAGGAGAGGAAGGGACCCCGTCACTAAACTTGGTTTCTCTGCGTTGCTGTACAGTCTGCCGAGCCTTATAGATGGTGAGCATCACCAACAGCCTGCTGAGCGAGCTGGAGATCCAGTGAGCGAGCTGAATGTGCAAGGCCTTTCCTCAGGATGAGGAGTTTATTTTCTAATTATTAGAGAGATCCAGCGTTGTCCAGCCAGTAATTCGCTGGAATTACTGACACAGTGGGCAAAAATGAATTTGGAGCCGTCTGCAATGCCTCCCAAGCGATTAGTATGAAAGTGATTAACATGAAAGCCAATTTCCTTAAAGTTATCCTAAGTAGGGAGAGTACCTGGCCCCTCTCAAGAACCAGTGGGTCTCACTGAAAAGGACTTCCATGTTCATCTGGGGACTCACATGTATCGTCATGATCCCCACCTGTTAGAGGTTCCCAGGCTGCCTCTCAGGTTATGTGGTAGAAAAACAGTGCTTCAGCCCAAGTGCCCATCAATGAGAGAAGGGGTAAAGAAAAAGCGGTGTGTGTAGACAGGCATGGGTGGGTGGGGAGGGGTACTCAGCCACAAGGAGGAATGAAATGATGCCACTTGCTGGGAAGGGGGATGGAACTGGGGAACATCTGGTTAAGTGAAATAGCTACCCTTAAGGACAAACAGGATTTTGGTTTTTTTCATACATGAGGTCTATATTTAAATAAATAAATAAACAAAGAAAGAAAGAAAGAAAGAACAAAAGAAAGAAAGCATGCAGGTAGAAGTGGAAGTGTTTGGGACGAGGAAGCGAGCCGGTGAGATCAGGGACAAGAGTGGTGGTAAGTCCCACGTTGGAAGAATGTGGATTGAAACTCTGAGGGCACATGTTAGAGAAATGGCCAGGTGTAGCTCAGATCTGAGCACTCTTGAAACACTTCCCTATCAGGGACCTCCTGAAGTGGGTGAAACAGGAAGAGGCTGAGGGGAGGGAAGGCCACGTGGGGCAAGCTACTTAATGATGCTCTCTCAGACCTGGTAGAACTACATTTCAGGGGACTACATGTTCTTTTGTTCTGTACTTGAAGGTGTTGGCCTGCTGCACTTGCTCATACCAGGTCTCTGTGGATGACACACGCCTTTTCCAGGTAGGCCATGCCCTCACACACGTCCAGGCACATGCCCAGCAGAGTCTCTGCCGCAAAGAGACCCCTCTGACTTCGAAGGTAATCCGACAGGCAGCCGTGCTCCATGAATTCAAACACCAGGCAGATGGGGGCTTGCTCCAGGCATACCCCGTAGAGCTGCACCAGTTTGGGGTGAGACAGTTTCCTGGAAGAAAAAAGCAAGAGATAAGATAACTGAAATTCAGTATTCCCAACATGCTGACCATATGACGGCACTGAGGTAGACGACTGTCACTTCACCCCACTAAGGTTCTGAGAACAGAACCAAACCTCAGACCCAAACTAAACATGGTGGTGGGAATCAAGGTTTGGGTGGTAGCAGGGAGTCAGCTGGTATGAATGAAGATGGACAGAGGCCAGTGTGGGCTGGAACAGAGATGACAGACAGAGGCTAGTGTGGGCCGGAACAGAGATGGGTAGAAGAGGAGACTAGAGAGCCAGACATATAGCAGGTCTTAGAGACCATGCTGAAGTCCCCCTCTCTTCTTTCCTCCCTCCTTCCCTCCTCTCCATCTTTCCTCCGTCCCTGTCTCTCCCACGCCCCCTCTTTGTGTAGGGTGTTATTCACAAGGAATCATCAACCCCTCTGTTTATTTCTTTATCTTTTGTTAAGAATAGATTTTTTTCTCACACATCATATCCTGATTATGGTTACCCCGTCTACTCCTCCCCACCTCCCCCCATCTGTATCCATCCCTTTCTGTCTCTCATTAGAAAATAAACAAGCTTCAAAGGGATAATGATACAATATAATAAGGTAAACAAAAACAAACACATCGGAGTTGGACAAGAGGCAAATGGAAGGTAAACAGGCCAAGAGAAGGCGCAGGAATCAGAGATCCCACTCGTCCACATACCAAGGATTCCCATAAAAACATAAAGTGGAAACCATAACACATAGCAGAAGACCTGCTGCAGACCTGCGCAGGCCCTGTGCATGCTGCCTCCATCTCTGTGAGTTCATAGGCGCTTTGCCCACGCTGATTTAGAGGGCCCTGTTTTCTTTTTATGGTTGCATGTATGTAATATGTACTGTGTGTGTGCCTGTGCCGATCTCCTGGAACTGCACTAGTGAGCTACAAGGGCTCTTAACCACTTTTTCTCCAGCCCCCACCTTTCCTTCCTTCCTTCCTTCCTTCCTTCCTTCCTTCCTTCCTTCCTTCCTTCCTTCCTCCCTTCCTCTCTTTTCTTTCGTTTCTTTCTAAACAAGAGCTCTCTGGCCTGGACCTAGCCAAGTATGCTAGGTTGGACCTGCCTCTCTCCATTTCCCCAGCACAGTGGCACCAAGTACATGTCTTCATGTCGAGCTTTATATATGACATGAATTCTCCAGATTTGAACTTGGGTCTTTGTGCAGCAAGCACTTCACCAAAGGAGCCTTGGTCCTTACAAGGTTCTTTTTTTTGTTTTTCCTTGTGTAGTGCAAGTCTACTACTGGGGCATGACAATACATCAGAGTGGAATTTTACAAACATGGCCCAGAGCCTCCTTCCCAGCATGCCCGCACACCCCTGCTCTAACTCACATCATGACTTCCGCTTCCTCGATAAAGTCTTCTTCTGACATCGCCCCTTCCTGAATGGTCTTGATGGCCACCTTGTCCTTGTTGAGCCAGTAGCCGAGATGCACCAGCCCAAACTGCCCGCTGCCAATCTCCTGCACGAACGTCAGCTCTGAGGGTTGGATCACCCACTTCCCTGGAACAGAGGAAGAAGGAATGCTTTTAAGGAGGGCAATCAATAAGCTACAAATCTCAGAAATATATACAGCCTTATCTAGCCTATGGTCACTGTAATTCAAATATGGCTTAGAGTGTCATAGGTAGTTACTGTAACATAGAATACGGTTTTGAAATTGTCGCGATGTGGGAGGAGAGTGCAAGGAGAGAAAAGGACGATGGCGTTAAGTATGATAGAAGGTAGCAAGAGAATCATTACAGGGTCCCATCATTTTTTTTAGCTGCATGTGATTGAAAAGTTTTTATTATGATTTTTTTCTCTTGAGACAGACTCATCATCTAGCTTAGACTGGTCTCAAACTTGTAATCCCATTCCCTCAGTCTCTAGAGTACACAGAGATTTGTGAATATCAGGCCTATAATTTTATTGCCATTATGGCAGAGGACATTTTCTTTCCGTTTTCCACTTGTTTGTATTCATTTAGTGGCTCTCTGTGCTCACAGCAGTGAGCTAGGCTTTGACAAGAATGGAGCTTGAGGGTGTGAGCCCACGGGGGACTTGCGCAGAGGCACAAGTGAACTGTTTCTGGTAGTTATTTATTTTTTATTTATGGGTATGTGTATATGTCTGTGTGACTGTAATGCACATGAACACAGGTACTGAGAGAGGCCAGAAGACAGTATTGGATCTCCTGGAGTGAGTTATAAGTGAATCTGGGCACTAGGAAATAAATTTGGCTCCTCTAGAAAAGCAGTCAGCACTGTGAACTTTCCAGCTATTTCTCCAGCCCTGGGGCAGGCTCTTGATAAGTGTTTAATAAACAAATAAAAGGAGTTATGCCTCAGTTTTCCCACTGACAAGATAAGTGGGCTGACCAGATCATCTCTGGGATCCCATCCAGCAGGACACTTCAGGATCCAACAATTAGTAGGAGAGCCTTACTTTCAGAGGAGGGTAATGATCTGTTATGCTTTCCTGGTGCATGGTACAGCCACATGCCTAGCAGGCTGAGAGACAGACTCAAGAACAAACAGCATGTGAGTACCCACTGTATGCCACATGTGCTGGAGGCTGGATGTGAAGAGTTCATGGCAGTGTTTCTCTAAATATTTCCCTGCCCACCTAGGTCAAAGCTACCAGGCTGCTTGCTTATAATGTAGACTCTAAGACCATGCTCTCAGGGAGTGTTTTTGGTAAGCAGCAGGGAGTGTCCCGGGACCAGCATTTTTTTTTTTTTTTTGATAAGTGCTTGGAAAGATTCGATGCACACTGAAGTGTGAGAACCACCGATGGATACAACGTGAAGATTAGATTAGTCTCCTCTTCAAACAGCACATTTTGGATCAAGGAATGTGAACTGAGATGCCTTAGGTTCTAGTAGATAGTCAGGAAGGGAAGGTGTTTTGGAGGACAGACTTCAGAGTAGGCCCCAGGGCCCTGGAGGTAAAGGTCGTTTTTTAATTTTTCTTTCTTTCTTTTTTTTTTTTTAAACTGGTGCTGGGTATTGAACTGGGGACCTGACTCATGTTAGATTAATATTCTGCCACTGAGTTAAAGTCCTAGATCTCAAAAACTTAGCTTTATTAATTGTGTTTGGACACACACGTTTCTTATGCAAGTGCATATGATCACTCTCGTATCATCTCTCCAAGTCATCTGACATGTGAAGAACAGTTAGGCTAACAGTGAATTCTCTTAGAATTTGTCCTAGACATTTAGATATGTGAGTTTTAGCTCAAATGCCCAACATCTTCTGCTTACCATATCTTAGCCCTGCTGTGACAGGGGCTTTCTGCCTCCAGGAGCAAACTGGATACCGGAGTCGAGTGACCAAACCTAGGTTGATAGAAAAACCGAAGGCTGTGGTTAGGGCTTTGCCATGGCAACTACCTAGATTATACCAGCAGGAAAAGAACAGTATGTGAAATAGTACTTTCAAATCCCAAAGTTCTACCACAGCTTTCACAGAGCCCTTGAGAGGAGCCTTAAGCATAGGAGGACAGTGACATGGTGACCTCAGAGCAGGTGTTTTCCGTGGTAGGCATGGGGATTCCTAGGCATTTGGAAGTTTTTTGTTTCTGTTTTTGATTTGCACCTTGAGTTGCTATTTATGCCCAGTTGATGCTGCAAGAAGAACCCAGTGGGGACGCTGTCATTTCTTCCTAAGTCTTCTTGTGGGGAATTCCCTCTGGCTTGTTCCCCCTAGAACTTACCTCCTCCATTGTACTGGTGATACTGGATGAGGAGAGGGATGGAGTCAAACACATACTTCTCAGCCACGTAGTACCGCTTGGGGCTGTCATTTGTTTCTTTGATGTGATAATGTTTTATACAGGGGTTCTCACTTGAAACAGATGAACACACAATCATTACCAGGAAGCAGCAGTGATACATCAAGACATCTATCGGGATCAGATTCTCACTGTCTTGGTCTGGAAGCTCTCACTGAGAGGGCAAGCACCCAGTGTTTCAGTGTGTGTATAATAAGCCTTGGCATGTTGGCACTGGTGTTGGTGTTGTGTGAAAAAGCACTCTGAGGCTGCACCTGTATGTAAGTGCAAGGGAGCTGAGATGTATTGGTGTTGGTAATGCCACAGCTACAGCCAAGAGATTTGGGAGCAGCTCTGTATGTTCTGAGTACAAAGGAAAACCACACTGGGGACCCTCCATCCACCCTGACTGAATGCCTGCCATCAAGTTAATTGACCACAAATGCTAGTTTGTGTGTGTGTGTGTGTGTGTGTGTGTGTGTGTGTGTGTGTACTGATGGGATTGCAAACTAGTGTAACTTAGTATGGAGGTTTCTCAAAAACTAAAGGTAGAACTATCATTTGGTTCTAGCTCTTCACTGCTAAGTATGTACCAGAAGGACTCTGAGCCAGAGCAGCACAGGGATTTTTGACCATGCACATTTATAGTTGTACTATACAATAGCCAAAATATGGAATCAGCATAGATGCCCCTCAACAGAGGGATGGATAAAGAAATTGTGGTCCATATATATGCTGTAATTTTGTTTAGCTGTGAAGAAATTAGGATATTCACAAGCAAATGGATGGAACTGAAGATTAGTGTGTTAAACAAAATAATCCAGACTTAGAAATACAAGTATCAAATGCTTTCTCTCATACATGGAATCTGCATATAAACACACACACACACACACACACACACACACACACACACTCAGGAGTCTTTGGCACACAGGACTCTCAATATGGTAGACAGGTTTTATTTCTAGCATATCAAGAACTGGCATTTGCCTATTTCCCGTTGTAGATGAATAGACTTTCATCTACTCTATACATTACCTGGTATGTTCATCAAATACAGAAGCAAGTATGTGACGTCCTCAGAACTCTGCTATCAGGCTTTGCCAAAGCCAAGAAGAGGATCTGGTATCTACCCAGCTCTGTCTCTTATTAAATCTCTCTAGTGCTGCCCTCGGGGTTTTACCATTACAGGGGCATTGGTGGAAGCACACCATTGTTAGTGAGGCTCTGTATGATATATGGGTGGATCTTGCTGTGCCTATGCTGTCACACAAAAGCAGCTGTCCCCATTTCTCTGTGCCAAGTGAGTGGCATACCTTATGATGGCCTTGGTGAAAACAGAGACTGTGTATGTCCCGGGTGTCCTGGAATCTCGGACCATGAATGCTCCTTCTTTACCCTGGATTTGGGTAGAAAGAGTGAAAGGTTAGTGATCTAAAAACCAGACTCCTGTGCCTAGCTTCACTTTCTTGCTTTGGGAAGGAGGAAGCTCTGAGTGTCACAGAACAGACTTTCAGTAGTGCCAGCCACCATTTCAATTACACAGTTGTTCATGTGAAGTCCTATACGGATAGACAGACATGGGCCTTCTCCCTTACAGTGCCAGTGGGCACTGGACTCTATAGACATTTCCCAACCCTCAGTGTTGGGGTCTGGATACCATTACCCTCTTTGACAACAAGGTCAGCGAGTGAGTGCTGGAGAGATTTAGTAGATTTCCCATGGGTCTACAGATAGTGAGCAGTGGGGTTGGAGTTTGAACTTTGGCGCCTGAGCAAATTTGTTTTCTTGCTCCATGATGCTGCAGCCTCTTCTACACCTTCTTGTGGGTATGAAACTTATCCTGATCACTCCCTCAGTTCCTGGATGGGGCTTGATTTCTCAGGCCCTGCTCACAAAGCTGATTTCACTGAAGAACAGACTGAGTAACAGTGGGATGCTATTAGTTGAGAGAGAGAGAGAGAGAGAGAGAGAGAGAGAGAGAGAGAGAGAGAGA